CTCGCGCTTTCCCGCCCCTGCGGGAAGTTCCTCGGGGAGCACGAGGGGCACTCCGCCAGAGTGTTCTGCCCGCCCTCTTCGCGCGCTCGTCGCCAAGGTGCGTGACTCCAAGCCGTGTGGAGCGGGTCACGTGTTCGTGCTGGCGAAGGGGCGAAGGTCTTGTTCTCCAGCAGGCCTTCGTCGTACGATTCCGAGGTGTGTCGTCGACCGCAGCACACGGATGGAGAAGGAGGATGACATTTGGTGCTTGAATGGAGGAGGAGGAGGAGAAGGAGGAGGAGGAGGAGGACGAGAAGGAGGAGGAGGAGCAAGAGGAGGAGCAGTAGGAGGAGGAGGAGGAGGCGGAGGAGGAGGAGGAGGAGGAGGCGAAGTCGGGGGAGAGTTTGTGGTTGTGTCGCTGTACGCTCCGCTGGAGGCGAAAACTAGGGTTGGAAAGCCTCAGAGGGCGAGCGCATCGACCCTCAATCGCGCGCTCCTCGCCGATCGCTTCCCTGGTGCCCCAGCCTGCGCAGGCGCGTCGGCTTTGCCACGGGGGCCCGTCGCAGGCCTGTCTGCGATGCACCGCCCATTCCAGGCCACTGCGTCCCGCCCTCTTCGCCAGTCCCCCCTCCCCCCGAGCCAGATCTCCTGGCTCCCTCCAGAGGGGAGGACGCGAGGGAGGAGGGCAGAGAAGGGAGGATCGAGGGAGGAGGGAGGATCGAGGGAGGAGGGAGGATCGAGGGAGGAGGGAGGATCGAGTGAGGAGAAGGAGGAGGAGGAGGAAATGGAGGAGGAGAGGAGGAACGTGGCAGCGTCCCAGAGATACCAATGCCTTCATCGAGTCGTCGAGTCGAGTCGAGTCGAGTCGATTCGGAGGAGGAGGAGGAGGAGGAGGAGGAGGAGGAGGGGGAGGAGGAGCGAGGACGGAGGAGGAGGAGAAATGGAGTTGAATGGTAATGGGATCAATGACGAAGTCATAACCGTATCAAAGGAACAAGGGTGCCTGCCCGACTCACATGAACACCGTGATGCCCACGCTCCTGTCCGCCAAGATGACACCCGAGGACAAGAAATGGACGCCGCCTGTAGAGGTTGACCGCCGTATGTACCCAGGACAGTACGGTATCATGAAGCCAAGCGTGCCCAGCACTGCACGCCCGCCGCAAACCGCGAATACCAGCCCGGCGGACCCGTCCGTCGAATGCGACAAAACCAATGGCACCCACACATAACCGTAGTGCTTGGGCAGTCACCGAAGCTAGTGCGTTGGCATAGCGGGACTCAAGCAAGTGACAAGCAAACAACCAACATAGAACAAGGACATGCAATACGCGGGGAATGTGTTGCTCCCAATACGCGCTACAGTCCCATAGGAAATACCTCGAGCGCAATACAGAACACCGTACCACTCCCAGCAGAAAGGCCATACTATATAAGCAATGCTGAATTGAGGACCTGCCAACAAGGCCATTAACGACACCGATCGGCACATGCCCAGTCCAGCTCCGGCGAGGATTTGACCGCCTGCCCAGGAGAACATGAAGCCCACCAGTAGCAGATGCACAGGACGTCGGTCGCCGTGTAACGCAACCGCAGCTGTTCTCAACAAATTCGTCCAGTCTCGCCATCCGACAGTCCGACAGCTGCTGCAACCAACCTGCGACAGATATCGGAGCCCCCAAGCGCCTCGAGAAAGCACTGGAATCGGCTGGAGGCCCATCGCTAAGTCAAAAGCTGCGGATGAACCTCGAGCCACATGTGCTTGAGTAGGAGGAGGAGGAGGAGGAGGAGGAGGAGGAGGAGGAGGAGGAGGAGGAGGACGGGAGGAGGAGGACGGGAGGGGAGCTCGTTGCCACTCCGCAAGCTCGCCGCCCGCGAGCCCGCTGCGCCGCCGTGCGCGGGCCGTGGCCGCCGCCGCGGCGGCGGGCCGGCCCGATGGGGCCTCGCGAGCGCGCGCCCAGCGGCGGGAGGCGGAGGCCGCGCCCGCCAAGCCCCCCTCGGGGGCGGTTCAGAGCTCGGCTCCTGGGAGAGGGGGTCAGCCACGCGCAGAGGGGGGCGGGGAAGGGGGAAGGCTTCTGAGAAGCACCCCTCGTGCGCACGGGCGCGACCCGAGGCCCAACAGGCCAGGGCACCCGCGGGGGCGCGGAGATGACCGCGCTCCGCGCGTCGCGGCCTGGCCCACGGCGGCTGGCCCCCCTTCGCCAGGGGGGGGCGGCGCGAGGGCGAGAGGCATGGGGGAGGCCAGAGGGTCAGGGAGAGGAGCCGGGAGGAGCAGCAGCGGGCTGGGGGAGGTCGAGTGTTGCCAGAGGTGCCCCTGGCCCAAGGTGAAGGTGCCCCCAGGATGTCCACGGAGGCCGCTGGGGGGCTCCAGAATGGAGAGAAAAGCTGTGGGCATCTCGGTCCAGGGGCGCCTTTAGCAACCCCCAGAGGAGGGGGTGGAGGAGCAGCGGGATAAGATGGCGGTTGAGGAAGAGCAGGCGCATGAGGCGGTGTTGGATGGCGATGATAAATGAGGATGGGGATGATGTCGGCCACGCGCAGAAGGTGGTACAGGGAGGGGGGAAGACTTCTTTGAAGGCGCGGACCTTCATCATTCTCTTCAGGGCCGGCGCCTTCTAAGAAGCAGCCTCCATCTAAGAAGCCGTGCCCCCTCCTTCTACCCCCGTGTGCGCGCCGCCCATGGGGTGCCCTAAGGGTAGGTAAGACGGGATTCAAGGTTGGATTTGTAATGTTTTTGGCACCTCGTCCATACGGTCCCTTCCTTCAGGACCCCATCTTCGAACCGCCGATCTCGGAGGCGGGCAATCTGCGAGGGAACAACCGCATACATATTAACTTTTTGGAGCTACACGCGGATTCCTTGGGATCGGCACTGGGCCCCCCTGGCGGCGCCTCCAGCGCCGCCACTGGCTCCGCGCGCCAGGGGGGGGTCCAGCGCCGATCCGAGGAATTCCGCGTGGAGCTCCGAAAGTTCACGTCCATGCCGTTGTCTTTGCTTCTGGCCAACAGGAGGGTGATGGCCAGGCGGGGTGCTGACTGTCGTCGTCGAAGGGGAAGTGGTGTCAAGTTTTCGTTGGCCCTCGGGGGTGTTTTACCCTCGAGATGCTTTCCTCATCGAGCGCTTCCAAGGGGTGCCCAGATCGTCCCGAACGGCCGCCGGAGGCTTGAGCTTCGACCCGAAAACAAGCAGGCGTCGAAGAGGGGGGTGATGACCATGGGGGGGGGGTGGATATCCTGGCCCGGACCATGAGATCTTTCCGATGTCAAAGCCCCTTTCCATTTTCCAATCTGTCACTGGCCTCTCCCCTGGGTCCGCGGATGTGTCTCGGACCATGACTGGCGAAGCCCCCTCGTGGACGCCCCCCTCTTGGACCTTCCCCTCTTGAGATGGGGAGGCGAGGGGTGCGATGGGTCCGATGCCAAGAGTGGGCGCGAGCGAGCGCGCCTGGCTGGCCCTCGGCCCCTCGGCCCCCCTGGCCCCGCCCCGGGAGGCCTTCCAGACAGGGCCCGGGTCACCTGCGCCCCAGCATCGCGTCGCACCGCTGGTGCATCGAGGATGCCTCGGCGATGTGTCGGCGAGGTCGGGATGGAGAGAGTGTCATGGTCCAGGTCGTGCCGCATGGCCGATGCGTTGGCGACGTGGCGATCCACATCTGCGGACACCATCTGCACTCCGACCCTGTTCAGGAGGCTTGGAGTCCCCCCTCCCCCTTGGCCGAGAGCAGACTTCGGATGCGGCTTGAGTGAGACCATTGGGGCTCATTCTTCTGGGGAGGGGGCGCGCAGGGTCCGAACTCTGATGCGTGCAGCTCCGAACTCTGATGCGTTCGTGCTGCCCACCACGTTCCTCGATGCGCGGGAGCGCTTGGTGCCTCGCGGGAGGCGGGGCGGGGCGCTCCTCGTGGGGAGAGGGGAGGAGGAGGAGGCGCAGGGGAGCGGAGAGGAGGAGCAGGAGAAGGCGGGGGGCGAATGGGGGGGGCATGAGGACGACCGCGATGATGGTGATGATGGTGGTGCTGCTGCTGATGGTAATGGGATGACGCTGATCGTGATCGTCCGCTTGGAACCACTGCGGATGACGACGACGGCGACGGCGACGGCGACGGCGACGGCGACGACGACGACGACGACCACGACGACGGCGGCGGCGGCGGCGACAGCGGCGACGACGACGACGATGACGACGACGCCCGACCTCAGCGGCAGCGGCGGCGGCGGCGGCGGCGCCTGGGCCCGCGGGCAGGACCTTGGCGGCGCTCGGCCCGCGGGCGCCTGGCCTGGCCGCGCTCGCCGCCGCGCTCGCCGGCGCGGGCCTCGCCGGGGAGGCCGGCTGATAGGGCGACCTCGTCGTCGTCGTCGTTGTCGTCGTCGTTGTCGTCGTCGTCGTTGTCGTCGTCGTCGTTGTCGTCGCCGTCGTCGTCATCGTCGTCGTCGTCGTCGCAGTGTTGGCCCGAGCGCCTGGGAACAGATAGGCTGCCGCGGGCTGCAGTCGGGCTGGGACCATCGCGCTGCCATCGGAGGTGGCGTGGCATCGACGCCACTGGCGCCAGCGGGCAGCGGCGCGGAACCTGCTGCGGGCCTGGCAAGGCGCGCCGTCGGCGCGGCAGCAGCGGCGCCTCGAGGAGGCGTCTGGCTGTGCTTCTGAAGCCGCTCCACGGCTCGGAGGCGCCGCAGGTGCCCGCCGCCCCGCCTGCAGCGCCTCCAGCGCCTTCCTGGTCTCATTGGGCGTCGGACCTGGCGCGCCGCCAGGCCCCTTCGCGTCGTTCTCCGCCCCTGCCGCTTGAGCACCCCTGCGGCCCGCGCTGGAGCCATGCGGGCGGCTGCCCCACGGGCCCAGCGCAGGAATGCCGACGAGGGTGCCGCAGGAACACCGTCCACTGCTCTTGCGCAGGAGGTCATCCCCCGTCCGGTCGCCGCAGCCTACGCACACCGAGTAGGTGCCCCTGCCCATGAAGGCAGGCGGCGGCACTGGCGGTTCGGCGGAGGTGCGCGGCCCCGCGCGCTGGGGGGACCGTGGCGAAGGCAACGGCGGCGGACACCTTCGTGAAGCTCAGGGCCGCCAGGGCCCAGGCGGGCGTGCGCTGGCAGGTGCTGCATGCGAAGAAGGCGCGCGTCGGGTCGACGAGGGCCCACCTGGACGCGCTGGGGCAGGAGCGCGACCTGGCGGCCGACGAGAACGCTTCGGCCGAGGCTCACCTGGAGGAAACCAACAATGAGTGCTTGGAGGAGCCCGCCGGTAAGGGCGCAGGAATCCGGCCGACAGGGCTTGCAGCTTCGGAAAGGTTCCTCGGTTTCGAGATCCCGTCGGACCTCCAGCGCGACGAGGTGGGCGACGGGGAGGCCAAGGCGGACCTGAAGAACTTCAGGCCGAATTGGAGCGCTACCAGAAGGATGACAGGAGCACGCTGGAGGACGCCGACCAGAATAGGAAGGAGGTGTATAGCGCGCTCGGCGAGCTCTACGAGCAGGCCGAGCAGACGGCCGCGAAGATCAAGGGGGGCGTGGACCAGGCCAGGGCGCATGCGAGGAGTGCGACAAAGAAAAGCAGAGTCGGCAAAGAAGCAGGCTCGGAGGAGGCCACGGCAGCGGCTGCAGCGGCGGCTGGCGCGGGCGAGGTAGGGCCCGAGGCAAGGGCGGAGGCGCCGGCGACGGCCGCCAAGAGGGGCCTGCGACAGTTCTGGGCGAGGAGACCCAAGCCCAGGCGAAGGGCAGCGGCTCTGGCAGAGGCTGAAGCTGATCCCGACCAGAAGCAGATGGGCTTGCAAAGCGTCGCGGGCGCAGACAATGGCGGCAGGTGCGGCGAGAAGGACAGGTGCGGCAAGGAAGGCGAGGCCGGGGGGGAGCACTGTAGGCGCTGCTCCTTTTGGTTTGCAGCGTCACCGTGGCGACGGGGGGCCCCGCGAGGTGCCTGGGGGAACCGTTAGGTTCGACCCTGCGGTGGAGCTGCAGTGCGTGCGCGGACGCGTCGAAGGGGCGCTGATGGGGCCTGGAGGCAGCCGCAGCAGGTGAGAGTTGGCAATATGGAGACATGCGAGGAGAGCGGAAACGACATGTTCTGGGACGGCAGCGGGAAGGACGAGCAGTGGCAGCTCGCGGGCACGCTGGGGCTCGCGGTACCCGAACTCCAGATGGACGCAGGTTTCGAGGACGCGAGGGGCGACCCCTGGTTCAGTGGCGGCGACTGCGGCGAGTGCAAAGGGAGATGGGCGGGGGGGGAAGTGCCGCTAGCGCGGCGCCCCCCCCCCCCCGGAGTGCCAGGTGAGGGGCGGCGGAAAGGGGGGGGGGCGCCAGCGCGGCGCCCCAACGCGAGGGCGGGCGAAAAGCTGCGGGACCAAATCCCGAGGAAGCCCTGCAGGTGGGGAACCCCTCAGGTTGGCGGTCGCAGCGTTGTGCCGCGCAAAATCAAGGGGGCGCCCCTATGGGGGACACCCTGAGTTTGTCGAAGTCGCCGCGTGCTGGGCGCAGCAAAAGCGTAGCGGAGGGCTGCAAGGCACGAGGAGGAGTGGACGGCGGCCGGCCACGGGGCGCGGGCTAGCCCACCAGCTCGCTGATGGCGGTGATGGACGAGACTAGATTCGCGGATTGCCCGGGGAGGTGCGCGGGTAGATGGGCCGCGTCTTTGGGCGAGGCCGAAGCGGGCGACGGCGAGCGGGCGGAACGGTGCGCAGCTTGCGCCGAAGCGGCGTTGAGGGCCCCCGCCAGCAGGGGATGGGTCGAGGCACCCAGAGGAGCATCCACGATCAGCAGCGCGGCCGAGGACTGCAAGGGGGCCCGGAGATGGGGGCGCGCGCGGAGAAAGGCGACCGCGGGCATCTTCGAGGCCCTGGGTCTGAGCCAGCAGGAGAGCCACCCCGCGTTGTGGAGCTGTCTGTCCTCGCGCGCGAGCGGCTGCCCAACGAAGTGAGGGGGGAACCCGGGCTACGGCTGGGGAGCGGGGGGCCCGGGACGAGGGGCGAAGAGGCCCAGGAGGTGGCGGCGGCTGCCGACGCGAACGGGTCGCTCGGCAAAGGAGGTGGCGCGAGGGGCTACCTGTGGGCTCAGTCCCAGGGTTCACGCGCGGCGTTGGGTTTTGGGGGCATCCTGGGCCAATGAATTGCCCCAGCGACAGACGCAGGGAGCGACCTTCATCCCAGCCTGGGACGGAACGGCGAAACAATCATTGCGGCTTTGACAAGATCCCCCAGCAGGACGGCGAGGTCACCATCTGGACGGCCAGCGCCAACAGCTGGATGGTCATGATGATGCTGATGCTGGTGATGACGAGGTTGATGGTGGTGATGCTGTTACTGATGTTAATGACGATGATGATGATCATCAGCATCATGATGATGGTGATGATGGTAATGATGAGGATGCTGATGACGATGACGGCGATGATACTGACATTGATGATGACGAAAATGATGGTGATGATGATGGTGATGCTGGTGATGATGATTCTGATGCTGCTGATGGGACGAAGGAACAGGGGGAGGAAGGAGGCGAGAGGAGGAGGAGAACGCGGGGCGCTGTCTCATCAAAACGACGACCCAACACCACAGGATGGTTTGGGAAAAAACAAAGAGTCTCCGCTGTTTGACGAGGAGAAGGTACCCATACCAGAGCTCTTCGCCCGTTTTGCAATTTTCTGGTCTCCCGGGAGGCCCTCGCCGCCACCGCTGGATTCGCTTCGAAATCTTGGTCAGACTACACCCCGGGGAGGTCCAGAGAATAGCGGTATTGGTACCTGTCGGTTTTCCCAGGTACGGTGTGGGTGGAAATTCAGATGATGCCTGGGGTTTCTGTAAAAACAAGCGGTCTCCGACCAAGTTTCCTGGAGTTTCTTCGGTTTCCAGCAGCTTCCACAGTGTCAGCCGCTTTCTTGTTGCGTTTCTTGAAACCAGTCTCAGGATCGTGATTTGCGCTAGTTTCGACAAACCGATAGGTACATGCCAGTTTTCGCAGGTTTCCCGCGCGTTCTCCGCCGTACGCGCGGGAACCTGCCAAACCCATTGGGATGATATTCTCCTTGACCGGATAATCGTTTTTTTCGAAAGTGGTTGCGTTGCCGAAGCAATTTCGTCCATTAAGACATTTGCGCCGCTGGCACCCCCGCCGTCATCATCATTATTACCATGCTCATAACGATCATCATCATCATCAGTGTTATCAGCATCATCATCAGCATCAGCATCATTGTCAGCATTATCATCATCACCAGTATCGTCAGTATCATCATTACCACCATCCTCAATAGCAGCATCACGATTAGCAGCATCTCCACCATCACCATCATCATCGTCATCAACATCATCATCATCATCACTACCATCATAATCATCATCATCAGCATCATCATCGGCATCATCATCCTCGTCATCATCATCACCATCACCGTCACCATGATCATCATCAGCATCAGCATCAGCATCATCAGCAGCAGCACTAGCATCAGCATTAGCAGCAACAGCATCAGCATCAGCACCATCATTATCATCAGCATCATCAGCATCAAGGCTTCCCTGCAGGTTGCAACATGCATTTTATGCATGGCCATTGGCTGTTAATCGCGCCCATCGGACCTTCGTCGGCACTCGAGGTCTCCTCGTCGCCAAGTCTTGGCTCGGCTCGGATCACTTCTCAGGCTGCCTTAGCGGGCTGGGAGGGGTATGGCCATCGTTTTCGAACAGAATCTGGCCAGAAGGGGTCCTGGTCTCTTTGTCTTTGGGGCAAGCGGTCGCGCGCCGTTCAGGTAGGGCCTCGATCATTTCGGGCTGGACCCCACGTGACAAGCAAGGCCATCATCGGTGCCAACGGTGTAACTGTCTGGAAGCCCGTGAGGATGTTTCTCAGCTCGGCGCCGCACGCCCCTCTCAATGGCGCGGGCGCCCTGGCAGGAAGCGGGGTCAAACGCCGACCCAGAGGCGATCTTCGCGGACCTCCGAAAGCCTAGGAGGAGGAGGAGGACGAGGAGGAGAAGGAGGAGGCCGCCTGTTGGTTATCTGTGATCCGAGGGGTCTTCACCGCCGGCGCAGGCAATCCGCGCTGACCTCCACAAGTATGCCTTTGCGTCGCCTGTCGGTCTCGTGTGACAGCCGACGTCGGCCACTCGTTGCTGCCATCCCCCCCCGCCCCATGCCGCGGTCGAGAGGCCTTCGTCGGCCTGGCGCCTCGCGGGGCCACCGCCGCCGGCGCACGGCGAGCTCGGGTGGGGGCCAACGCGTGACGAACGAACAACACACACAGTCACATTCACATTCACATTCACATTCACATTCACATTCATATTCACATTCACATTCACATTCACATTCACATTCACATTCACATTCACATTCACATTCACATTCACATTCACATTCACATTCACGCACACGCACACACGCACACACGCACACACGCACACACGCACACACGCACACACGCACACACGCACACACGCACACACGCACACACGCACACACGCACACACAACTCACACACCACCAACGCACGACACGCACACCCTCACACACGCACCACGCACACAACTCACACACGCACACACGCAACAACGCACACACTACAACAACGCACACACGCACACATTGCACACAAGCACCCACGCCCACTACGCACACCCGCACACACGCAACGACGCACAGCACGCACACCGCGCACACAGCAACCACGCACACACGCACACCGCACAACACAGCACACACGCACACCGACTGCACACACAACGCACACACCCCACCACACACGCCCAACAACGCACTACACACGCACACACGCACACACGCACACACGCACACACGCACAAACACCGCACGCACGCACGCACGCACGCACACACACACACACACACACGCACAAACACACACACACACACACACACGCACACACGCACACACACATGCACACATGCACACAAACACACACACACACACACACCGCACACAACACACTCACACGCACACACACACACACACACACACACACCGCACACAACACACACTCACACGCACACACACAATCACACACACACACACGCACACAC